GCTTAAAAATTTTCAATGTCATGTTATGAATAAGTTATGTATATGAATAAAATTTGGTTGGTATGTAGAGTTGTAAACGAGTTTGAGCTTGAGCGAGCTCAGACAATCTTAAGGGCTATAATTTTATCTCCAACTCCATTAATTTTTACAACATTATCTTTCAAACTCTTATCTATAATTACATCTACACCATTTCTAGTGCGACTCTTACCAGAATACCAAAGTTTAAACGTGAACAGTGTGTTCGTGTTCGGCTCGATTTAAATGTTCGTGTTCGTTTTCAGCTCTTGTTCGACTCGAAATTGGCTCGTTAAAATTAAATTGTAATTTTCCTATGGCTCGTTAAAATTAAATTGAAAAAAATAGATGTAAAGTGATGGATTCGAACATGGACCAAATGTATGCAAAAGAAAGCACTAACCACAATACCACACAAGGTGTTCCAATTTAAACTTAGATATAAATATATATAATATATTATTATATAAATAATATATGTAATATATTATTATATAATTTTTTTTTATTTCGAGCTAAAATGAGCCAAACACGAGAGAACAAAGAATTGTTCGTGTTCAGCTCGTTTATAATTCGAGTTTTAAAAACATGTTCATGTTCGGCTTGTTTACTTAACGAACGAGCCGGAACAGCGCTAATTAACGAGAGGAGCCGAACACGAGCTGTTCGCGAACAACGAGCATTTTTGATAGCCCTAAGTAGAGAAAATGAAAAAATATATTTTAAATTGATAGTTTATTAAATATAAAAACAAGCCCAAAACGTGTGGTATCCTACTTTTTGTCAATTATGTTGTGTAGGCAGATCAGGTCGTGTCCATGTCTTTTGTCCGTGCTTCATAGCTTAGGAGCAAACATTGAACTTGCATAAATATAAGCTAACAATGAAACCATATTTTCGAGGTTCTATGAAAATTGATGATGACATAAAAAAATGCATTCCTCCATCATGACTTAAAGTTGATATATGTTGATGCCATGACACCGTCTTCTTAAAAAAAATCTTAATAGGATATCCCCTATAAGAGAGAAGACTACTTATCGCCCCCTAATGCCTAACAAAGGGTTTATGAGTTCCTTGATGTCCATGATTCATGAAACAAGGAAGAGATTTAACCCAATTGAGGAGAGGTCAGCTTTCTTGTATCTCAACAAGTGTGGTAGTTGCATGCACAAAAATGTGTTACTTCAGATTTTCCAGCCAATGATGGCGAAGTTATTTCCACAAAGAATTCAAACTGTTAAGTGTCGAAAATGGTCTTTAAAGGTGGATAAAATTTAGTTTGATGGTTCATCTTGAGCCTGCTATTATGTCCTACATACAAGCATGTAAGGATCTTCCAAGGATAATCTATGTGAAGTATAATCAAGCCTTAAGAATAGACACAATCAAAAAAGGTATCACTCACGCTATCAATAAAATATCCATTAATGATGTTTAACTAGCTTACCATAATGAGAGAGGATAACATGGAAATAACTCAAATTGTGGGACCCTCAGTTTTGTGGAGACAGAAATTTATGAAGCTTATGTGGTGGCTTACGAGAATTTAGTGCAAGTACATATTTGAATTGAGTTGTCGGAAAACATAACTAATCAAAAGGCTTCGTTAATATGAAAACATGCATTCCATATAATGCATCATACGCAAATGATAGGAATCCTAGAAGTAAATATAGGCAATGATTTATGCAATCTAAAATAATGCTAGGCGACATTCCAGTTTATTATGGAACTTTGTAGCGGACAAAAGATCACAAATAGCACAGGAGCAAGGATTCAAGAAGGCGGGCGATTATGTGGACAGCTGTGGACTGCATGCAATGTCCTAAGTTCAAAGGAAATCAATGGTGAATCATTTGGCAAAAAAATTAAAGAATATTTATAAAGAACATATACGATTTTTGAGGCAAAATTCAAGTTTTCCATAAATGACAAAATTTTTTATTGAATCTTTTCTCATAATTACAACAGCCAAAGCGCATTCACATTTCTGAAACCAATAAAAGTGATATGAGAAGAGAGGAAAGTAGTGACAATAAAACTAAGTACACATACACAAATATCACATGAACATAGAATAACCAACAAGAAAAATGTATTATTTATTGTAAAGTGCAAGGAATAAATTACTTTTTCATCACATTTAAACAAGGGCAGCTTCACCCCGACTGGTTGCCAAGAAAAAATTTATAAAAATGAATTCAATAGTATATATCAAGAGATGGCACTAGACTTAACTAATTGTAAAAAAAATGAACTGACCCTCATTAAAAAATAAACTCAACTCCAAAAACTACATTAACCAATAAATGGAATGGACTTTAACCAAAAATCTGAAGTTATTAATGATGGAAATAAATACTTCATTAAGAGTAGTGGAGGAGCGTGTTTTTTAAAAAAGTAATCCTCATCTTCCCTTCCTCGTTGCTTATCCCAATACCGGCAAGTCAATCCTTAAGCACAGGCACAAGTTCTCGAATGGAAGTCAAGGAAAACATCAACTCAACAATCTCAACCACCAAACTTACAATGGATGGGTGCAACCAAGCTACAAAAATTAAAGGCTATTAGGGGAGCAGCATCACAAGTTGACTGAAATCCCGAAAGGGATAAAAATTAGGGGTAATTCACGCTCAAACCTCAACACTTGCACTTGCCCCAACCACCCTTTCCAATAATTTTAGCAACCTGCCCCCCTCATTATCTCCATACAGCTTTACTGGAAATCATACCAAGTTTATTCATGAAAATGTCATGAAATAAAAACATTCTACTCAAAAACTATCAAGGGGAACCTCAATAAGTCTTAACTACAAATCTTTCATCATGGATGGGAGAAAGGTGCCAAACCTATGAGAAATGCGTTCACTTTATCTTCTAATTGATAACCACAAAGCTCGCTCATAATCTGATGCATTGTAAGCCACACAGAGTTATCAAAATAAGGCTCCCTACAATAAACCTTTCTAATGGAGGAAACTAATCAACCATACCTCTAGAGAGATTTGATGTTTCTCAGCTCTCCCCAACAAAAGGTTCAAGATGCCAGTTGGTGTAACCTATTAAGTAAAATATAACCTTGCAAGAATTAAAATGTTTTCCCTGTTAATTTATTTTACTTTTCATTAGATGAAATAGCTTGAGTCAGAGCCACCACACCGGTGGCACGACTAGTCGCATGAGCCCTTGACGTGATATGGTCAACGAATATTGCGACAAGGGACCTTTGTTACGGATCAAGAATAACCTCTACTCTTCATCTCCCACTTAAACATGGTTACTCTACACAACCTTTCACTCTAATGAAAAAGGAGAAGGCTGGCAGATCAGCCTTGGAGAAACCCAGCAATATTTATAGATGATTGTGGCCACTGACAAATTGGAGATTACATAAACATCATTATTAAAGTAGTTAATGGGAGCATCACTCCCAAAGCAAGAAAAAAATAGTATATAAAATTCTCTGCTGTCTCTTTTATTAATCTATAAAAATAATAAACTACTCACCTAGTTTTTTTTTGTGCTCTTTGCAAGTCATTTTACGACGATACAAAAGAACTAAAGAATTAAATGTATCCTCAAATATAAATTTTGGAGGTAAAGTCAAGAAAATCATGTGAACTCATCAGAAATCACAGCACATGGTTTCAAAAGGCACACTCCCAAGAGGGCACTTGCCAAACTGAAAAGGCTTTCACCCAAGCGGGCACTCATCCAACAGAGCAATGGCCACTTAGAATGCACCTGACCTAATCCAAAGACACTCATGCAAGCTCGGGAACCACTCAATCAAATTCAAAAGCACTCGCCCAACTCCAAAGGCACCCATCCAAGAAATAAAACTCACTTGTTCGAATATGAATACTGCATTCAATCAGCTAGCAAAGCCTTTGACAAACTCGCCAAAGGCAATGGCGATCGAGATGTATCCATTGGGACTCTGATTGCTACATTCACACACCTATAACAGTCATATTATGTATTTATTTCTTCATTTATTTTACCAAATTAAAATATTGTCTCTCTTCTAATGCCAACCAAATCTATAAATGAGTCATTTTCGCACAATACAAGTTAAGGCATACATAGTGTTTGAGCTTATTGCATGAAGAAATAAGATCCTTCAAAGCTCTCTCCCTCTCCCTCTCCCTCTCTCCTCTTCTTCCTTTTTCTTGACTTGGCTACATTGAGATATCATGGGTCCTAGTAGGATCCAAGTATAGCTAACACAGATCGGGATCCAACAACTAAAATACTCTTACAAAAACCCAAAATAGTCCATAAAATAGCCAAATTTCTATTCAGAAAACTAGTCCGAGCAAAAGAGTTGTATCAATAAACCATAAGCATTGGAATTAACTAAATAGCTAGAAAATTAATTTACCAAAACGAAGGGAGAAGTTTTTGTTATAAGTAGCTTCAATTGCTAAATTACTTTTGTCAATAGTAAATTCATCAATCTTTGTCACGATTAGGTACAAAAACAAAGATTGAGCTGAAGGATAACAAAATCATAATATCAATGGTAAGAAACTTTTGATAAAAAGGCAGTTAACAAAAAATCAAAATAGCGCATAAACTATTTACGAAGGACAATTTTAATCTCAACTATCTAATTTATCCAATTTTAGGCCCATGACTCGGATCTAATCCAATATAATCTAGCATAGATACTATTTTCAATCATATGTGCAAAGTCAAAGGACTAAACTAAACACATTATAAGATAACTAGAACTAAAATGGTTACATAGAAATATTCAGAATCACTCTGAACTTTTTCTCAAAGCCGATAAAAGATAACAATTTCCAAAAGGGCAAAGGCAAAGTGTAACTACATTAAAATAGTAGATCACTTAGCAGCAATTGCAACAAATATAAAATTATATATCTAGCAAACAAGCTAGTCCTCAAAAGTAAAATAAGAGCACTTGCCTTTAAGCAAAAAATAAGAAAGTAAAATATATGAATGTTGTATACCTCCTTGTTATTGCTTGATAATGCAAATCCAAGTATCTGCTGAATAAATGCCAATTCAACCTTTTCAGATGAATCATCGCAAGCAGCCTGCTAAGAATGTTCAAGACAAGAAAATATGAAATTAGAATTAGGGAGTATAAATACCTAATATGGCTATTGCACAAAAGTAAAACGAGTAAATTGAGTTCAGTTGAAGACAGTGGGTGGTGACATTCACCCCCTGCCAGCTTTAGACAATGGGTGGTGACTTTCACCCACTAGCAGATTTAGACATTGTCAATGCATGTAGCAGTGGTAAGACTAGGCAGTTTTTAGAAAGATTTGCATCATCTCTATTGGATGCACACAGACTCACATAAAGACATAACTAAGCACTTGGACAAACTAATGCAACTAATGCATCCGATGCACATGTGACCAAGTGCATGGGCATCCTGTGCAGGGCGCATTCATAAATGCAAGAGCATGTACGTCGTGCATGACCAAGCTACCGAAGCTAGGTACAAAAAGTGTAACGGTAGCAATGTAAGGTCATGCAATCTGTATGCGCAACAAAGTTCAGTGCAAAAAATGCAGGAGGTCAAGCATGCATGTCGGTTTCAAGGGGCAAGTAAGAAATCGCCTTCTGCAGTATACTTTTGATGTGCAATCAAGTGGACACGCAGCATCCAGCACAAAGAAAATTAAGCTTGTATGTGGCAAGAGTTGATCCTGTTATACATTACTGACATCAGGCACTGACAGCAATTGAGAATGTGGAAAATATCCACTTCCAGGATGCGCAGCTAGGCAGAACTTGCATGCCCGGTGCACATTATATAATTGGATGACCGTGTGTCAGATATTTGAAAAGAGTGAAGAACTGCCGCAACATGGGGATGTGGGGCCCTCAAAGATATACAAGAGGGTAACCTAGTTCCCCTTACAAAAAGGGCAAGAAAAAAAGGCCTGTCCAGGTAAAGATGGGACAGCAAAAGAGCCTTGTTGCCCCTACCTAAGGGACATGGCTCTCGCATCTTCATCTCACAGGAGAACTTGATGACAAAAGAAGCAACTCCCTTGGGGCACAATTGCTCAGTTCCTAGTCATATTTTGGGATCAGTGTCCACATTGAACAATAGGAACAGTAACGCCGGAAGGCATTGCAACAATGGTAGTATTATAAACAGAGTGAGTGTGCATCCAAAGTCCTCGGTAAGGTAATTTCATAAGCTATGTTTAACATATTGAAATGGCTGATTATGTATATTCACTGATAGATAATATATGCTAGAAGCCTGATCTATCTGCATTGACTCGGTGAAAATTTTTCCCAGCAAGCGGGTCAAGTTCTCACACTCTTCTTGATGCATTTTTCTCGGAAAGGAAACGTATGTTGTTTATCTAGTTTCTTCAAAAGGAACTTCAATTGATTCATAGGTTCAGTCAAGAGGGAAACTTAATTGTCAGGTAAATGCAAATCAATGATATTTGCGGCTAAAAATCTCACAACTATGAATAGGTGGAAGGGTGAACAAATAGACATCAAGAAGTTGTAAAAATGCTAGTTGTTGCACCCAACCTCCCTTAGGATTGACCATGAGAAAAGGAATAGAGATGATTCAATCAAAACCCAATGAAGGTACCTGCCACCAGTAGCATGTGCTTATGCTAAGTTGGTGAAAAAAAAGTGATAGACTTGAAATCTATAAGGAATTTCATAACATTTTAGTTAATAGTGGTAACAAAATTGTATAGATCTACAAAAAATCTCAGGAAAAAGGAGGGACAAGAGTGAGAGTTTTTAAGAAAAAGTTTATCAACAAAAACAACCCTTGTAACTCGAAGGAATTGAGTACAACTTACCCAAAATTAAGTTTTAGATGTCAAAAAGCAAGACAAGTGATTCAAGATTTACATTGTATTGATTAAAAATTATGTTTCCATACATCATTTGTACACTAAAAGATTTTTTTATTTTTATTTATCTAAAAGATGAACAAATTGATTGATATCTTAATCAATTATTTAGCATTGGTACATAAACAATAATACATCAAAGATGATGATCTGTCAACTAGTTAAAAAACAGAAACCCAAAAAGAATATAATAATTTTAGCGAGCTAAGCAGTAGTTGAGTTCACAATCAATAAAAACTTATGAAAGGTCATATTGGAAATGAAGACTATATGTAGCTCCAGTTTCACTTAATCGTTTGGAGCTCATCAGAAAAGGGAATTTTCATAATCATGCTTAAGATACCTAATAAAGGGTCCAACTAATACAATGCGCACTGAGTTGAAGTATGCACCTATACGTCATAAATTGCAAAGAGATGATTCCTTGATTCAAACTGTTGTTCTTCAAATTACGATGGACGCAGCCTAATTATTTAATATAGCTGAACAAAATTCTAGATATGATGTAGCTCATGAAATATTTGGAAGAGTTGCTGCTGTCCTCACAACATAAGAAGAAGAAGCTCATTTTTTGCTGCCTAAAATCCATCATTTCAGTGAATCTTAGAAGCTCTTACTGAATCTCAAATCAATGCCCTTTGAATGACTTCAAATCATTTTAAAACATAGCTCCCTTAAATGTTTTGGAAGCTTATTGAACCCAAAGCCAAGCTAAGGCTAATATGTATGTTGCCCACAGCGGTTCAACAAAAACAACAACAAAACCTTTAAATCACTAAGTGGTTCATAAACATAAATTGTCCCCAACTTTATATTCATTAGAATCAAAACAAAGCCAATCTGAGTTTAATTTTTTAACATTTCTTTCGACCTATATGATCAAAATATTTTGCAATTCCATTTTTCTCTCATTACATCCTAACACTAATGAAATTAATATTAGGATAGGATCTTGAAATATAGGTACTCTCAATAGTAAATTAATGGAATTAGTTGATATTATGATTCATAAAATGATTAATATCTTATGTATTCAAAAAATAAGATGGGGATGGAGAAAAGGTTAAGGAAATTGATAACTTAAGTTTTAAACTTTGGTATTGGTAAGAATCGCACTAGAAATGGTGTAGGTGTAATTATAGATAAAAATTTAAAGAATAATGTTGTAAAAATTAATAGAGTTGGAGATAGATATATAGCCCTTAACATTATTATTAATACTAAGATTTTTAATATTATAAGTGCTTATGCTCCTCAAGTAGGTTTAGATATAGGTTCTAAATATAAATTCTAGAATGACTTAGAAGTTTTAATACAAATGATACCTCTTGAAGAAAGAATTTTTATTGGAGGATATTTAATTGGGCATGTCGGTAAAGTAGTGGAAGATTTCATAAATATATATGGTGGCTATGATTTTGGAGTGACTAATGAAGAAGGCAGAGTTATTTTAGATTTTGCTTTATCGCATGATTTTGTTATTATTAATAATTTATTCAAGAAAATAGATGAACATCTAATTACTTATAAGAATGGATCTAATAAAACACAAATTGATTATTTTCTTATGAGAAGAAGAGATGTCGAGATTGCAAAGATTGTAAGATCATTCCAAGTGAGTATTTAAGTAACCAACATCGGTTATTAGTTCTAGTTTTTAAGATAAAGAGTTGTAGAAAAATTAATAATATGACTCATTATAGTAAAATTAGATGGGGATACTTAAAAGACAAATAAAATTATTTTTATGAATAAAATTCAAGATTTCAAAATTTGGGATGTTCATGAAGAAGCAAATGTTATGTGTGATAAAATAACAAACACTATTAAATAAATAGCAAAAAAAAGAAAAAGAGAATAAAAAAAAAGTTTCTATAAATAAAAATAGTTAGTGGTGAAATAATAATATGCAAGAAAAGAAAAAATATAAGAAGTTACTAAGAAGAATCTACATTTGATTTTTATTGATTTAGAAAAAGCTTACGATAAGGTTCCAAGAGATATCCTTCAGAGAGTTCTTGAGAAGAAAGGTGTTGACATGACTTAAATTCGAGTCATTAAAAATATGTATACTATAGTTGTTACTTGTGTTCGAACCAAAGGAGGATTGACCAAATATTTTCTTATTTTTGTTGGATTACATCAAGGATCGGCTTTAAGCCCATATCTTTTTGCTTTAGTTATGGATGGTCTTACTGGACATTTATAGGAGAATGTACCTTGGTGTATGTTTTTGCTGATGATATCCTTCTCGTGGATAAGGCGAGAAAAAAAGCCCAGGAAAAATTTAAATTATAGAGGTCAACATTGGAGTTTAAAGGTTTTCATTTGAGTATAACTAAAAATGAATACATGGAATGTAATTTTAGTAGTAGTAGCTCTAGCGACATAAGTGTAACTTTGGGTGATCAAATTATTAAAAGATGTGAACCGTTTAGATATCTCGGGTCTATTGTTCAAAGCGATGGTGATATATAAATGGGGATGTTAATAGTAGAATTCAAGTTGGTTGGTTGAAGTGGAGGAATGCTTCGGGCCTTTTGTGTGATAGAAAAGTACCGCTCATACTGAAAGGAAAATTTTATAAGATGGTGGTGAGACTTGCAATGTTCTATGGCACTGAATGTTGGCCTTTAAAAGAGAAGCATAATACTAAATTAAGTATTGTTGGGATGAGAATGATTAGGTGGATGAGTGGCTTTACATTTAGAGACAAAATGAGAAATGAATATATCTATGATAGGGTTGGTGTAGCTCCAATGACGAACAAAATTAGAGAGAGTCATCTTAGATGGTTTGGTCACATTAAACGTCGACCATCTGATGATCTGATTAAGAGAGTAGATGTTTTAGATTCAACTTATGTTAAGAAAGGCAGCGGTAGACCTAGGAAAACTTTGGCTTCTTGTATAAAAAAATGATCTTAATTTATTAGAACTAAATGAAAATATGACACTAAATAGAGCGCAATGGAGCAAAAGGATTCAATAGAGATAGAGCGCAATGGAGCAAAAGGATTCATGTAGCTGACCCCACGTAGTGGGATTAAGGTTTTGTTGTTGTTGCTGTTGTTGTTGTATATTTGTCCAAGAACATGACTTTATTTTCTGTACGAATACACTGTAAGCTCTATCACATTGTATGAATATTTTGCATAACTTTGAATCAAATATAGTGATGTAAAAGACAGGTTTGCAGTGATAACATGATTTATTTATTATTGACATGGCAGCACAACAAAATCACTCTCACAATAAAAAAATCAAGTCAATGCACTTTAAATGTTCTTCAAATGGCAGCAATAACAAAATCAATGTGCAACAACGTATGGGCTAAAGCTGAACAGAATAGTGGATATGATGTAGCTCATGAAAGATTTGAAAGTTGCTGCTGTCTTCACAAAATAAGAATTAGAAGCTCATTTTTTGCATTTTAAAATCCATCATTTATGTGAATCTTAAAAGCTCTTACTGAATCTGAAGTCAATGCTTTGAATGACTTCAAATTATTTTAAAGCATAGCTCCCTTAAATGTTTTGGAAGCTTATTGAAACCAAAGATCATACTAGTTACTACTCACCATAAAAAATATGTTGCCCACAGCACTTCATAAACATAAATTGTCCCCAACTTTATATTCATGAGAATTGAAACAAAACCAATCTAAGTCTAATGTTTCACAAATTTCTTTCTACAAATGTGATCAAACCATTTTGCGGTTCCATTTTTCTCTCATTAAATTTGTCCAAAAACATGATTTTATTTTCTGTATGAATACACTGTAGGCTCTATTACATTGTATGAATATTTTGCATAACTTTGAATCAAACATAGTGATGTAAAAGACAAGATTTTGCAGTGATAGTGTGATCTATTTATACTTGAAAATAATATTGTTCCATTTAGCTTTGCAAATGTCAATTTCATGAGTTCCTCAATGCGGAAAAAAAAGAAAAAAGAAATATGCCCAAGCATCTCTTCTCTCAGCCAGTCTAAATCAAAAAGTTAATTCTTGCACTAGTATAAAGCTGGAAATTACAGCTCTTATTTTGTAGGCAACTTTACTACTAGGCTGTTAGAAGCTTGGGGTTCAAAATGTTCTTTCATCAACAGCTAGCTACACTTTCATAACTCAAGAAATTGAACCAAGACAATGCAAAGAATTCTCATCCAAAATTTAAACAAACAATTTCTTTATGGTCTCGTTACCTAAAGCTTAACTTGAGGAGAGAAAAGACAAGATTTATAATGTTATTCAAAACAAAGATGAAAAGAGTTTAGGAGTATTTGTAGTACTCACATCTATAAGCAAAGAGATAAATGGATTAGAAGAAATTGGTTGAGAGGAATATGTCTGATGTAGGATGCCAAAGGAAACCAAACGCTGACTGGTCCCAAGCAGCTTCTTGTCCTAAAACATGGAAAATATGATGAAAGTAAAGAAACCATAAAAAGAATGGATCTGCTAGCTGCGTAATATTTTTATATGATAGAACAAAAGCAATATTTCCAAAAAAATATCCAACAACTAGAAAACACACAACCAGAACCCTTAATGCAATAAATAATAAAGCATAGAAATTAGCAAGCTTATAGTGAAAGTGATTCCAGTTACAGATCAGTAAAATAAATTAGAAACAAGCTTGAGAAACTGAATCAAGGAAAAGCCACTCCATGCATTTTCCATTGTAAAAGAAAATATTCAAAATAAAAAAAAAAAATCATCGTTCGCCTTAACCTGAGTATTCCTTGCTCATAATATCAATAATCTACAACCTAGCTGTGGAGAGAGACTATACATACTTCAGTTAGATTGAAAAATAGTGCTTACTGTGACTTTTAAGAGTTTTTTAAGGTTTGTGAATATTCCAAATACTACAAAAATTAAAAAAAAATGTTGGTGGGAATATACATGCGCGCGTTGATAACAACAAAAGAAACTCTGAGGATGGCTTTAGTATATGATATCGGAATAAAAGATACATATGCACGATGAAAATTGTTTTAAAAACATTTTTAATCCATTTTAATTCCTAATCCTCTGACATTAATTTAATCTATTCATTCAATGGTGCATTTTGTACCTTTCTTGGACATTGACAAACCAACTAAGATAGAATTCTCTCTCTTTAACATCATCAAAATCAGGGCATGCCCAATTTCAAAAATTTTGAGTTCATTTGATCATACATCAGATGCATCATTTTTTTCTCCATGGATTGCCTTTCTTGCATGATATAATTACAACTTTCAATATATATAGTCCATCAAATGGCATGGTTTGACGATGATATTTAGATTCCATGTGACCATTTTGATTGATGTAATAAATGGGTGAAAATAGAATCTAAATCCCAGACTTTTATATGTTGTTGGATCATCATTAGGTCCAATATAAGCATGATAAATGGTCAATTTCTCATTAAATGAGTAATTTACATACTATAGATTAAAACCAACGATGTAATTTAAAGCATAGTGATTGTATAAGGTGACAAACACAGTAATAAAATAAGGGTTAGAATTGTCATTCTCCTCCTTCCCTGACTCTTAGAATATTATCATAACTGGTTGCAAGGAAAGTTGAAATTAGGAATAAAATGGAAAGCAGCGGAATGCTTCGTTTGTTTTGCGTGGAAAACAAATCCCATCTTTAATGTAGCAATAGATGAAGAAGGGTTCATCATGGAAAACGTATAAATATAAAAATGTATGGCTTAATGGATAACTTATAGCCTTCATTTTTAATGGAAATCGTAGTCTCTCCCAGAGTAATCTGCTACAGTCTATGATATTGAAACACTTCCGCAACTCCAATTTTATCCTTTCCAACCAAAGTGAACAAAGGAAACTAATTGGCATTCTCCTCTTTTTACTCAAACTCAACTTTACCACACTTCAAATATCATAGTAGAATAATAACTTCGATTTGAAAAATTCTCATATCAAGATGATCTTCAAATATTGTTTATACTCTGCCATCAATGCACATACTGGATGAGGGATATGAACCCTAAGTTAAACATACTTGCACTTCCAATAATAAAGAGACGAGAATTATCTTTAGCTGAAAACATCAAGCAGAATTCGAACAGGCTTGGTTTCAAATAATAATAGCACGTAAAGATCAACAAGACAAATATTTCAACAAAAACTTCCCTTCATTGGAACCAATAAGGTCAACCAGAAATCTCAAGGAATCCTTAAGACCAGGAAGCTTGAAAAAATTAACACACTATTGATCTAAAACGGATAAAGTTATGGTAAAAGAGAGTGTTTAGCTAGCAACCTCGAGAAGCATGGCGATTGAGCAACATATTCTGAAATGGACGTCGCGGGGGAACCGAGAGCTGAATTCAGAGAATATATCATCGAGTGATCGGGTCTCTGCGTTGAGAAGAGCGAAAAGCGCCTCGGATTCCTCGACGCCGATCATGGCTTTGAACGACGCGGACAAAGGGTAATGAAAATTGCGTCAAATCGAACAAGGTTTTCCTCTCGACCCTCTTTGTCTTACGACAATAAGAGCGGAGAAAATAAGTGGGAGATTAGGATTTGTGCCAACACACTTGAGTCTGTCTTTGGTAGCACATTTTTAATTGAATTTAATTTTAACTTAAATTTAGTCTAATATTAAAAATATATATAATCCTACATTCTCCCCTTTCACTTCTTCCTCCAATTTCATCTCCTTGGCACCTTAAATACTGATTTTATCAAATTAGTATGTGAGGAGTATTTCACGGATTTACTCCGCCGTTGCTCGCGCCTTTAGCTTAGTTGCATCCGTGGCAAAATCCACAAATTTGATAAATTATATTAATGTAAATCTTGTGTTGCAGTCAAATACCTGTTGGATTTGCATTAAATAGAGTTTATCAAATTCAGTAAATTCAACGAGTCTGAATAGAAATAAAGGTCACAAACAACGGTGGCATAAATTGAGTAAATTCGTCTTTCTATTGGATTTACTAAATCCGGACATACGTTTAAAAAGAGACAGCTTTCGATTTGTTGGTGTTAGACTGGATTTAGGATAAATCCATAGGTAAACCTATTAAAAGTCCTCTATCAAACACCCGCTTCGTGGGCAGAGAAAAGAAAATTCCAAAAAAATAATTAAAAAGGATCATTTACATACATCGCACTCAATTCGTATGTATTTACTTATCTCACATTTAAACTTTCGTATTTACAGATATGATATTTAAATCTTTCAAAACACATCAAAAAATAATATTATTATCACTTTTTAAAAAAATAAATCATCCCATACATATATTTAAAATACCAAAATATTATCGATATAAATATAAAGATATGAGATATATAAATATAAAAAATATTTTTGATGATTTTTAGATTCTTTATGAGAGTAGCAAGTATAAAAAGTTAAATTTAATTTCTAAATTCTTACAAGATTCTCACATGGCAAGTTGACATCTTCAAATGCAGCAAATGAAGACGAGAAATTTAAACTTCTGTTGCCAATCAATTAGTTTAATTTCTAAATTCTTACAAGATTCTCTCATGGCAAGTTTGCATCTTATAAGATAACTTGCTCAATTATACAGACTCGCATGACTTACAAGACTCTTACAGTATTTTTCACATCAAATTTAATGGCCAAATGAACAACTCCTTCAAACCAAAGTTCTGATACAATGAAGATTAACATATCATCCTCTGTTCATCTACAAAGCAAGGCTTATCAAGCATATCACCGCTATCAGCTGAACATGATTAGTTGTTTATTTGATTGGATTTGAGATTGTAGTATACATCCAAAGCTTTTGATCATCCTTTGTTGGGGCTGCAAATTATTATCATTAGGAATGTTGTTAGCTTTAGTTTGCATGATTCAGACAGTATCTTTAAGCTGAGAAGTTGAGGAAACAACAGCGGATTTATCACTAACAACATGTTTAATAGAGCCGTTGGATATGCCACTAAATGTGAAATAGAATAGTTAAACACAACAGCATATATCAATTGGTTCATATAAAAATTCAAGGATGATGTATATACATACCACTCCATTATTATGTATTTACATGGCTAACAGTTAAACTTCAATTTTTACATATAAGCCACGTTAACTATGCATGAAAAGTTGTATTCACTTTTTGGAAGTTACATAATGGTATTTTGACGTGAGATGAATGATTTGGGTGGTATAAATGTAAGAAAGCAAAATTTAGACGTTAGAAATGTAAGTGCATAGGAATTGGGTGGTTTGCATGTAAATGCCCCAAAATTCGAACATTTAAAATGCATACAGAAAAGCACACGTTCCATGTGACCAAGTTGTGTGAAGAATGACTATAACAAAGAAGTTTAACATGCAGCATGATAAAAACCTTAATGAGAAATATATTAAATATAAAACAAACTCTAGTGGTGCAAAAATGTATTAAATGTAAGTGACTGCAGTGGTACAAAAATATATTAAATACACAGCAAACTATTTGATTTTTAATTCTCTTTCGAGTTTCTAATATTAAAAAAATGATGTATAGAAATACAAATTGAAACAACAACAACAAAGCCTTAATCCCACGACGTGGGGTCGGCTACATAAATCATTTTTCCCCCATTGCATCCTATTTAGTGTCATATTTTCATTTAGTTCTAATAAATTAAGATCATTTTTTATACAATAAGCAAGAATACAAATTGAAACAAGATAAAAAAATATGAGAGGTAGAAGATAGAGGGCAAATAGAAATCATGAATATTTATATGAACTTTTAAACTCAGGTGTTGTAGATGAGCAAGAAAATGTATTCAAATTCAAAAAATCTTAGGCATCATTTTCATGAATAATGCTCCCGCCAAACATTCAAAAAGGTTGCATAGACAACAAATTAATTCACAAGACAGACCAAAACAAGCAAATCAGGATATGTGAGGAAACTTTCCAAAACTGCTTTCATTGATGCAACTCTTTCACAATCATGACCAATCATCGCGATAAACAAAGTATAGCATCAGAGAACAGTGTCACAATAACAAGGCAAATAATATTATACTAATAATCACTGCTTCACAAAAGAATAAAATTCTATGACATAAAGCTGAAGGTGAAGATATGAGTTGGCTTGATCATGATCAATCCTTAATGAAACCACACCCCATAAAATTACTGAAAACTCAAATCATTGTACATTCGCTCGATGCCATTCTTTTATGCAGTTGTATGTTCGTTATCATGAATAAACAATAACAAACCTTCAAGCTGTTTTAAGCTACTTCCTAACATGTTTCAAATTGATTTTATCCATTAACCTTTTTGAAGCAACTATTCTTATGTATTTACATATCTAACAACTTAATTTAAAATTTACATGTTTAATACCTTTGTGAGTGTGATGTAAAGGTTTCTACCTCAATAGAAGCACACGTAGTTCCATTCATGGTCCTCTTTAAAAACTCACATAAAACCCATGCATCAAACAAAATATAGAAGTAAAATCATAATGAGATAATTAAATATAGATTGCATGCCGCAAGCACAGTCAACCAAAAGTTATTTCCTCATTCTGAAATCCATTAGGGAGTGTGAAAAGAAGCTTTCAAGTAATAATGGATATAAAAAGTGTTGATATTTCATAACTAAGCAAATATCCATGAAGGAGCGTGAGAAGAAGCTTTCCATTAATAATACATATAAAAAGTTTTGATATTTCATTAATCAGCAAATATACACCCCACCCCCCCTCCCATACCCCCACTTCAAACAAAATAGTTTTAACAAGAGAATAATGATTGATGTTGATGTGTTAATAAAGTTTTCAAAAAAAATGATTGATGTTGATGTGGTTAGGCAACAGATGTGGTATGGGTTCATGGGCACGCTTCATTAATTTGTTCATCATCATTATCGTCATCCAATCTCTCTCAATGTATTAGAAGTATTGTTCTCACAACTCTATCAACATATGTAAATTCTGAGAATACGAGATAGCATCAGCTTCAGGTAAATTTCTGACTTGATTGGCTAATTGGCTCCTTACAAGTGGTTATGTGGTGCCGCTAAGGACCACAACAATCACATTTATGAGTCATTTTACTCTTTTTTATTAGTCACCATAAAAAATTTTATTCTCTGTTTCCTCGGCATTTCCTGATGTATTTGGTGCAAAAATGTTAAGGTCGTCGTTAGGTGCAATCCACTCGCACTTCCACGGGAGGGTGACAATCTCTCTGTCATAGGTCATCCTGTATCTGTAGTTATTTTGATAAAGTCAAAAATAATTTAACATATAGTGTATAAATTGAATTTGAAAAGTTAAAAAGAAAAACCTCATCGTATAAAAATGCTCATCAAAACAGCTATGCCACAATGTCATATCTTTGATGTCGATAAAGTAGGTAGCATGAAAACATGAGAGACCACTCAACTGCTAAAATCCACAACTACATTTTCTCTTAATGTCAATTATGTATCTTTCTTCGGGTCCCTCAACTTCAGTCATGTATGTTGTTGAAGGCCTTATAATGAACCTTTTTCTTTTTTCTTTACCCTCTTATATGCTAGTCAGTTGCAGGTACTAATTCACGTATTCACTCACTTGATTTAAGCTCTCTTTTAGTTATTTTCTCCATTTTCATCCCTCTAATCATGTCCGCCGAATGCGTAATAGGTTTTTTCCTCTTGCTTCTTCAATCCAAGAGTTGAAGGATTTAGAAATATTGTTAGTATTGATTTGACTTTTAATATCAAGCAAGAATTGACAATTCACCCATTTATACGGGAGATTGACTAGATATGCATGAAGTTGTGGGTTAATTTCACAAATCTCATTGAGATTCACACTGAATTTTTCCCTAGTGTAGGAATTTGACGCTAGCTAAACATTTTGTCGGATCGCTTTGTTGCCTTGAAAATAGTGGTATATCTTAATATCTTTCCATAAACATTACATGCAAACTCTAGGTTATGTGTATGGAAATACACACCTTAAGGTCTCAACACAAAGACTTCTCCATGTATTATATAAAACCTAATGTTCAAACTCAAAAGATATAGCTAAATTCCTAATAAACCATTCCTATGACTTCTTTGAATGGAACTTGAATACTATATACGCGATCGTAAAAAGTCCATTATTTCCATCCAATGCATTAGCTAAAAGCAAGCCCTCTAAGTATTTAGATTTTAAGTGACATGCATCAAGACCCACAAGATTTTTGCATCCAACTAGGAAACCATCGATGCACAACTTGAAATGAACATACAATCTCTCAAATGTTTGATCAACATTATTGTACTCAGAGGTAATATAAAAAACCATATTCCTTCTTACAAGCTCCACACAGTGCATGAATTAACTTGAAACTATCATCAACCGATCCAAATATTTGATCCCGTGCTAACTGTCTAGGTATCCACAACTTCATCAGTGCTATGGCAGGTCATAATTTCTTTCTAAGCCAAGATTTATTTGTTTTAGAGACATATTTAGAAAGATTTTTACCATATCTTATATTTCATTAGCTACTCACTAGTTATTGTCTGTTTGTTGCCATCTATGTTGATAACTGGACAAATATGTGAAACTTCATATTTCTTTACTTCAAATGTTTGTTCGTCGACCAATATCGAAGCTCTCACTCTCCATGGGCAACAACTATATGAGCAAATGACAATAACACTCTTT